CCTTGTGCCTCCCGATGGTCTTCTTAGATCTTAGCTGGAACATTCTTCAGAGAAACATCTCCACTCTCTGAGTGGCTCGGTACCCCCCAAGAACCTTCCTGGGTCCTTTCATCCACCCAGGTGCCGTCAAGGCTGGTTGTTTTTTTTTTTTTTTTTTTTTTTGTGAGACACTGTGATTAGTCAGATCCATTACACTAATCCACGTGATTATTCAGAACCGCTGACTCCTCATTATCTAGTTGGTTGCCCAGCACATAGTAGGTGCTTTCCGCTGCCAGGGTGAGAGCATCAACAGCCGGTAACACAGCCCGGACAGAGGCTGGCTCTGAGGACCTGGACTCTGGAGCTCTGACTGACTAGGCTGCCACCCCCACCCCCAGTCAAAACCACAGGAGTTGGACTGTGGGATGCAGCTCCGAGATAACATGCTTTCCTGGAATGGTTGAGGTCCTGAGTTCAAGAAGCAGATCCACTGTCATAAAAAACAAAGACCAGACAACAAAGGAAACCCCATGCAGGGAGACAGCCTGGGACAAGACATTGCAGAGGTTCACGGGCTAACGTCATCTCCTGTTGGGCTGCTGGGGTTGAACTAAGTGGAAGCCAATGTTCCCTGTCCTGTGTTGTCCTTGTGTTGGGAGGACACTGGGACATGTCCTCCCAACACAGCCTTGGTGGGAGGCAGCCCCTCTGTGCTCAGCCCCTGCCCTTTATTTCAAGATTCTTCCAGGCAGGTTCTTTCTCTCTCTGATTGGATTGGACTTGAGAGAAAGGATAGAGATAGGAAGAGGGGAGGCAGGTGGGCTCTGAGGTAGGAGTCTCCGTGGAGACAATGGTTAGGATGGAATCTCCTCGGGAGCTGGGCCTATGAGGCAGGTATGATGAGGTAAACGGTGGACACACTCTCGGGATATATTATACAGGCTATGGAAGTTGAATAGAGCTATCTGGGATACCCAGAGGGAGAAGAAATGATTCTCTCTCTTTTCTTTCTTTTTTCTTCCCTCCATCTCTCTAATGGTCTCTGTTCTTCTGGGTCCCAGAGACCCAGGGCTTGGAGGAATTCTCAAGGCCCTTCCTGAAAAGGAGAGTTAGACCCCATGCTAGAGATGTAGAGAAGGACGGAGGGGAAGAGGAAAGAATGGAGCTTATTGGGAGGGGAAGGTTCACAGGCCTAAATTCCTGGGCTCCTGCAGCTTCAGCCATCCTGAGGAAAGAAAGGGGGGAAAAAAAACAACCCTCAACAGAATGATTTAGAGACCGAATTCTGTGCATGGGGGAGACATGAGGACACAGAAAGGCGGTGGGAGAGAGAATCCAGTAGAGACAGAGGGCTCTGCTTTCGCCTGCAGCGGTTCCGATGTTATCTGTCTCCAGCTGCCTCTCTCTCCCTCCGCAGTCTCCACCTCTGCCCCTCCTTCCTCTCCAACCCCACCGCCAGACACCCAAGTCTCCCCTTCAGGGTGTTTGCACCAGAACCTAGAAGTGGAATGTGCAGGTTCACAGCACCAAGGTGAAGCGATGGGGGAAGGGCTGGAGGCTCCCGATGCCCAGGCTGTCATCTCCAAACTCAAGCTGCCCACTGCTCCACTCCTCCCTTTTCTGTTTGGATCCCATGCAATGTTTCTCTAGACAGGCGTATATGCAGAGGCAGCGTGTGTGTGTGTGTGTGTGTGTGTGTGTGTGTGTGTGTGTGTGCTTTGTGTGTACATGGGTGTGATTGTCAGGGAGGTTGGCATGAATCTCAGCCCCAGCCAGCCCATCAGCTCTCTCTCCATTTGTACCTGCCCCTGAAAATGACCCAGTACTGTGGAATGGGAGGCAAGGGTGCGGTCTCTGTAGGGTGGTACATTTGCCTGGGTCCATCTGATGTATGTGTGAGTGTGCACACACACCTTTAGCTGTTTGTGTGCCCCAGTCCCCATCTCTGCTCTTTGGGAAGATCTACCAGGTAACAGCGGTGACTTGAAACCCCCAGAACCTCCAAACTCCAGTTTCTGAAGGTTTGAGGGGGCACAAAGACAAAAGTCATTGATCTGACTCTGTCCAGGTTCCAGCCCAAGGGCAAAGGGGAGCACCTGTGTGCAGATAGAGAGGTAAGGGAGGATGATCCTGGGATCCCTGGTTTCCAGATGACAAACACAAATACCTTGGGACCAAAGCTCTGGACTAGGGGCTCCAGACCGTCTGTCTTGTCACAGGCTCAGGCCCCAGTCTTCCTCAACTCTGATGCTTCTGCAAGCAATACTTGCCAACTGATTCTGCAGTGGGGCTGGGGGTGGGGGGTGGGGGGATGGACGAAAGGCTTGGAGAGTCCAGGGATGGCTAAAGATTCTGCAAGATCTGGCTGGAGCACATTGCAGGAGGGGTGGAGCCAACTGTGTGTGTGTGTGTGTGTGTGTGTGTGTGTGTGTGTGTGTGTGTGTGTGTGGTGTGTTTAGAGGAAAGGTGGGGGGTAGGGGCAGAAAGGCCGCCTGCGGGGGAGCAGGCTTCTTGGCACACACCCCAGTTTCCTGAGCTGATCCCTGCTCCCTGCCACTGCTCCCAATTCTGTTGTTTCAATAACATCATTTTTATCCACCCCACGGAGAGACAGTGTCTTAGGAGGGGGAGGCAGGGGGCAGGGCTAGGGTAATGGGGGGAGGAGGTGGGGTAACTGAGAGAGCCTGGGGTCTGGAATCAGCACAGACTAGATTTGGGGCGCTCCCTCCTCAGGGCGATCCCAGAGCCCAGGTCCCCTGATGACAAAGACAAATACATTAAAATTCTTGCCTCGGAGAAGAATGCAGGACAGGGAGAGCATTTCATAATCTGCAATAACAGTAGCAGGGTGGGGATAAGGGGCTTGGAACAGAGGCACTGGTTCCCAGGGAGCTGGTCATTGGCCACCTGCAGCCTCCAGGGACCCCCCAAACCTCCTGGCTGCCAGGTTGGCACCAACTAGCTTCAGTATTTACCCAGCCTGGTATATCTTTGAATGTGCAATGTGCTGGCTTGGTACTACCTAATACAAAGGCGGTGTGTGAAATTGCTACGTGCTGGAGCTGTGTGCACGCTAGGGTGGGAGGAACAGAGGTTGGTCCATTATCTGGCTCAGCGCTGCCTCCTCCTCCTCCCCTGCTTCTTTCCTTCCCCAGAGTAACCCACACTCTTCAAATCTCAGTACCCAGGACAAGAACTACACTTGGTGCACCTTTGACACCAGTACCCTGCCTTGGGGCTCCCAGAAAATCCAAGGCCTGATTTTTGTGCCTAGGCTAAGATTTCTCCTCTTCTCTCTCTTCTTCACTCTGCGTTCCCCTTTCCTTCCCCCCGGATCTGCTCCCCTTCCTGATGTAGGCATCTCTGGTCTCCTCCTGCCTCCGTTCTGGCCCCAAGTCTCATCCCCATCCATTTGCCCCGCTCTCTGGACGCAGGACCTTGCCTCCTCTCTGCTCACCAGTGGTGTTTGTCTGTCTTGGCTGTATTCTCAGTTTCCACTTCTAAATTCCTCCCCACCCCAAACGACAAGGAACTTTCTCCTCTGGTGTGAAATTTCTGCCACGTGGGCTTAAGGTCCCCTGTTGAAGGTTGATGGGCCCTCTAGATAGTGGTGGCAGAGAAATTGGCTCCTGCTTCGGAATGTCCGCACCACCTGTCCCTCGGCACTCCTGGGGCACGTCGGGGGGCCTCTGCCCCAGGCCAGAGGAGCAGAGGCTGCCGCCCCGCTGCCAGCCGCTTGGCTTGATGAATGGAACTGTCCCTCCGCCCCACGAGGCCTTTGATCTCCCCCGCGTGGGGAGGGGGTCAGGGGCATCAAAGACATTTTTGTGGCATTAGAGAATCAGATAAACCACCTCACCTGCAGCTGGCTTTCCCACCCCTTCTGCCCGGGCCAAGTTGGGGAAGAAACTCGAGGCAGGGACCCGTGGACAAGCGAGACCCGGCTACAGCAAGCGCTGACCCCCCGCTTCTCTTGGAAGTCTGCAAGCTCGGCCCTCCACCTCACTTCTGAGGAGCGAAGGCTGGAGCGCAGGCCCTGGAGAGGCTCCACTGCTGTCTTATCTCCCCCACACTGTCCGCCCCCAAACACCGGCTGGACGCGAGGCTGGGGAGCTAGAACCCAGGCCTGGGGCTGGCTCCCTTGCCGGGATAGAGGCTGAAGAAAGGGCAAATGACCCGGAGCTGGCTATCCACAAGAAAGTAACGCCTTCAAAGTGCGTTGGGCCGGCAGACGAGTTGGACAGCCCTCTACGGAGCATCCCGCGCCCCGGGCCGACTTCCTCCCTGGCCCCCATCTGTATCTCCCCGAGCACTGTTCCCTCCCCCCAAACTCCCTCATTCCTGGGAAGTTTTCTCTCTTTACAGTCAACAAACCTGTCAAACTTCTCCCAGCCAGTCCCCCTTCCCCAGTTCCTCTTCTTCCCTCCTCCCCCCCTTTCCCTTCTCTACTATTCTTCCCGCCACTCGGTGCCGCAGGCCCGGGGATGGCAGGGGACAACCCCGCAGAGGCGAGGCGAGGAGCAGGCGGGCGGGTCCCGCACCCAGGAGCGCGCGCGGGCCCCGCCCCAGCACCGGGCTCCCGC